CTGTTCCTTCACTTTATTTTTATATTTATACATTTATTTTGGACAAAAACTTAGCGTGAGGAAAGGCATGTGTGGCGTGAGATATGGGTTAATTGCGTGATTCTCACGCTCAATGCGTGAGTGTTGGCAGCCCTGACAGATATAATATAAAGTGTGCAGGATAAGAATGTATGACATTTCTTAAAGACTACATATAACTTGTCAAGGTCAAACACAGGAACAGGAACCCAAAGTAATACAAATAAAGTCCTGGAAATCCCTAAACTAAGTCCTATTGAGTGAGACAATATTTCAGTTTCACAGAAATGTTAATAAAATCAAATGGCTCTTACACAACTGGAGTGCCTTTGTAGAGGGGTGTTTTAACTGTTTCAGTTCCAGTGTTTTAAGACACATTTTTTGACAGATTATAATGAAGCCCCTAGGAAGTGCACCGGACATTGAAGCAAATGTTCATAATGGCCAAACAGTGCTACCACAACTTCTGTGTCAGTCCTTTCAATTAAAATGCCTGAATTAGACAAAATCCCAATTCTGTGTTCCAGCTCAGATCTCCATAACTATAGACACTCTGTTCTGAAGATACAAAGGTTTAGGTTGTCAGAAAGGTAGGCATGTCTCACAGTAGGCTTTCATCTGTAGAATATCTAATCCAAACCTGGACTTTCTCTTTTTAATGTAAAACTCACTGTTTTTGTATTAAATGTAAAGCATTGTTTGGACAGTTTCAACAGCTGTCAAAAACCTTAGCAATTAAAAAGGTACATTGTTTGTTTTGTTGTGTTTCAGCCAGGGTTTAAATCCCAAATGTTTATCAGATACCCTATTTGAACGCTCAAAAAACATAATTAAATACACAAAGATGTGACAAAATGTTTTAACAGATCACCATCAAGTTTAAATGACGCTGCAAACATCAGCTAAACAGACAACGGATCTAGCTTGGAATAAAACATAATCCAGTCAATCCAGCTGCCCTTGGATTTAAAAAGCTCCTTAAATGCTGCCTAAAATCCCATCATGCAAAGCATCAGATGTGAGTCTCTGCAGGGGGTGTGAGATACTCAGCAAGGAGCATGCTTAATCAACAGGAGGCCTGTTGAGAGGCGCTGGGTAGAGTATCACTGGATATATTAGGCAGTCATTGCAGACAATCTTAGACAGAAAGTCTCTTTGACTCTGACAGTGATTTAGCCTGACAATCAGACATATTATATACAATAAGGTTTTCTCTGCATCTTCTTTCAATTGTGTCCAATAAGGCCAGACTGCATGCCATTGAATGCAGTCACCTCGAGAAAATGCACCCAGCGGTTTTTCTTTTGTGCTCAAAAAGCTTCAAGTTGAAAATATTTTCAAAAAAATATTGGGGTACGCTTGTTTTTGGTTGTGTTATTCATACAGAAACTATTATAACTAAGACCAAAAAGTCCATTTGTTAGAGCAGATCGGCTGAGCAGATTTGGTGAGCATTGCTTTCGTTATATTTTATAATTGTATTGCCATATACAGCTTCCTCTACGGCTGTCAGACTTAGTTGTTAAGGTCATTCACACTAAAGACAGGCGACTGCGATTTTTTTTGCGACAACATGTGAAGTCATTTGCAAAAACGTGTATAGACGGGAATGACGAGGCGCAAATGTCATTTGTATGTCCTTTTGCGTCATTCGCAAAAGTCAATTTTTTTAAACTTGAGTGATAAATTGGCATGACGCTGTCTGCGAAAGGCAACCAGAGGTGAGAATCTCAGCCTGACGTCACTGATGTTGAATCAAAAAACCAAAACAGCAGCCTGGGCGACAGCACAGAGCTCCTCATATATGTTCAGAAACTGGATTAAAGTTAGAAATGTACAAACCACAGACTGTCTATGGCAGGGGTGTCAAACTCAAATACACAGTGGGACAAAATAAAAAAATGGGTACTAGTCGAGGGCCGGACTGGTTCAATGTTTATTGCAAAACGTATTGAAATGAACTTATTGCACATATTAAACCTGGAACTAACAAAGCTTAACCTGTTAAACCCGAGAGACCCGGTACCGGGGCCCTCCTGCAACATCTTGCAGGAAACAGTGTCTGAGGGCATGTTCATTTAATAAACTATGAATGTTTTATATCCATGTAACGGAAAGAAACTCATCTAACTGATCATTTTAATTGTTTCCCCCCAAAAAAAAACACAATGCTAACGCTGAGCCTCTGAATTAGCAACGAGCGAAAAATGCTAACAGATGACTGCACCAAAATTCACTCACAAAACACGACGCTGAAGTTGGCTTCCGATTCAGAGCATCCGATTCGGCAGTTAAGGGGAAAGTTAAGGGACATTTAATTTACAGTGCTGAGCGAACAATCCTCCGTGGTTGAACCTCTTAAATCGCTGCATAGTCGATTTATTTGGACTGGATTATTTCAGAGAGTCTAAAGATTATTTATAACACAGTTTCAGATTTGTGAAACCTTTATTCTATTTGTGAAAATACAAACAAGGGAGATTTCAGTGCTTTTTTTTACATGTAGACCACATTAGACCAAGTCCGGATCTGAAACCCACTATACCTAGACTCATTAAAACTGGACTGGATTATCCCAGAGAGGCTAAAGATTCATTATAACACAGTTTGAGATTTGTGAAACCTTTATTCTATTTGTGAAAATACAAGAAGGCATAAAGGCTTGCCCAGCTGGGTTCTGATCCTGATCCTGGCCTGCTGCAGCAACCTCAGCCTTCCACCTGTTTTTGTATTTTCACAAATAGAATAAAGGTTTCACAAATCTGAAATTGGGTTATAAAGAATCTTTAGACTCTCTGGGATAATCCAGTCCAGATAAATCGGCTATGCAGCGATTTAAGAGGTTCAAACACGGAGGATTGTTCGCTCAGCGCTGTAAATTAAATGTCCCTTAACTTTCCCCTTAACTGCCGAATCGGATGCTCTGAATCGGAAGCCAACTTCAGCGTCGTTCACAAAACCTTATTATTTATCTTTGCTGCACATCCACCCCATCGTTTCACATCGTGAGGTGACACAGAATCGATGGGTACCCTCATTATCACTCAATGATACGTACTCTCGGAGATAATAACAAGAACAGACATCAAAACATATGGAGCTAGGTAGCTAAAAACGCTAACATGGCTCACCTGTGTCGTAGTCTGGTCAAAAGTGGTCTTCAATGGCATTAAAACGATAAAAACGATGCTGAAGTTAATCCATAGGTCTGGGTTAATCCAATGTGTCTGTGTCCCTTTGAATAATTTTTGATAATCCATGAGCAATAAACCTGCTTTTTGGTTTTCAGAAGTCAGAGCTACAGACAGCTTCACTCTGGTGCAAACCTGCATGCGCAAAGCCCCCACCTTTTTGTTTTACCATGTGTGTGAGTGGGGAGATTCCCCTTTGATTCTATTGGCTCTAACGGTCAGAAAGAGATGTCAATCACCAAAATCGACCGATGGGTTCCAGAGAAACGGTAAAACCCCCATTTCCACCCGAGTTTTTTTTTTGCTAAACCTCTCTAAAAAGGTCAAATGTCACTTGTTTTGCATCAATCTTGATACAGGGTACTTATTATATGTTGTACTTTGGATTCCTAAAGCTTTTAGTCTACCTCCAAGGGTAGTTTTATCTGTAAGTAAAACATAATTTTTGGACGGACACTATAATTTACAGTTTTTTTACGATGTTCAATCTGAATTTTCTTTAAAATAAAAAACATCTATATTGATTCTGACTTTTCTACATCCAACTCACAGGTTTATCATTACTTTGAGAACAAAGATTATTAATTTAATCCTTTTAGAAGGGAAGATATGGTCATTTGTTCTGGGAATGTCATTTTTGAGCCTGAGACCTGAAAAACAGGCTCAGGGCTAAACTGGTTTTAAATGATTGCCTATAAAACCAACATTAAACATTAAATAATCAGTTGCATTCATTTCTTATGGCTCTATCTGCAGCTTTTCCGGAGTCATTTATTATGATTACATTTTTCCACAGGCCAACAACAGCTTCAAAAAAACAATTTCCCTCAAAGAGAAAACCAAACATGCCCTGTTGTCGCGAGAGAAAATGTGCAGAAGGAAACATCCATTGAAACTCAGTTTGCTGCTCTGTGATGCTAGTTCAAGCCAGATACTTGGCATCTCATCTTGGGTGCAAGGTCATCAATGTTTGGGCTCAGGCTCTGAGCTGAGGAAACCCTCAGGATTGAGTGAAGGTGTGCGTGCAATATACCGGCGGGCCAGATCTAATAGTAATTAGAAATGATCCTGCGGGCCGAAATTAAATCCACCAAGGGCCTGATTTGGCCCCCGGGCCTTGAGTTTGACACATGTGGTCTATGGCATGACAAAGACAGTCGCTGCTTTATTTCTGTCTGTATGACAGTATTGTTGTGGGTGTGGACGGAGCAGCTACATTTTAGCTTAGCCTGATCGATCCGATCTCCATTCAGAAAACAAAGATTTTAAAAGTGTTTTGTCTGCCGTCTAGTAAGCACACTTGTCAAAGCATTAATTCATGGTTTTTACAAAATGTTATCACTATGTAGTTATTTTGGTATCATTTGGAAAGTGTGTATCACTAAAAATCACAGTACAATATGTTAATTTTGTTGTTTTTGGTATCTACCATTGTATCTACATGGAGATAAGCCCCGCCTCCTCGCAAGCACATATCGGCCCGATGTGAACGCTCCATAAGTGTGAGAGCAAGCATCGGCATCAAGTTGGTTGTAACGGTGAAACAAAATGCAGTGATATGTTGTGGAGATATCATTGTCATAGAAACCGTACAAATATTTCTTTAATGAAACACTGGGAGGAGGATCTGCCCACAACCGCCCAGAGCCTGTCTGCCAAAAGAGGAGCTATTATGTGCACTTAGGCCCTTAGAGAGAATTAGATGTAAACAAACTGCATCATATCCACTGTAACAGCATTAAGCAACCCAATATGGTGAACCTGAAATGTGTGTGTGTGTGTGTGACATACCTTGAACTCGTCCTTCTTGATGACCCCCCCGGGCTGCAGGTGCTGGTTGATCACATGAAGCACGGTCAGCATGGCGATGTTGGTCTTGCCGGCGCCGGTGGGAGCGCAGATCAGGAGGTTCTCGTTGGTGTTGTAGGCCGTCTCAAACACCAGAGACTGGATCCTGTTCAGACGCTTCATGCCCTTAAACACCAGCTGTGCGATCTGACACACAGAGGGAGGAACGGATGAGTAAAGACGAACACTTCACTGCAATACAGAGGTAGCATGCAGGAATCTGAAGGATTCAAGGACTAATTCACTTTTTAAGTCATATATCTTGCCTTTATTTTTGAATGAATCATTAACAGTGTAGATATAAATAAAGACACAAAAAGAAAATGCAAAACATTTTATGTAGGTTGATAGAAGTTATATAGCATATTTCACAATAAAAATGCTTTCGTCTTCTTTAAATAATTGAATTCCAATTTCTTTTAAACCGTAATACTCTGAAATTAGTTGCCAGCTTGCTTTTGGGTCCTCATGAAAGCTAAACAAAATGCTTTTATTATTATTATTATTATTATTATTATTATAAGTAGTGCCCCCCCCTCCCATTTGATAACAATGAAAAGCAATTTGCATGTTTTATTACTGAAAATTAATTTCAGTAATATTTTTTATAATGCGAACAATTACAGATTCACTTAATAATCTCAATAATAAACCTTTTACAGTACATTTTAGGCTGCTACATTTACAATTTATCGTTTGGTATAAACCTTTATTTATATATATATATATATATATAATATATATATATATATTTGTCTTCTTTCTTTTGAAATTGACAATTTGCAATGAACTGACCCAAACCCCTTGGGTAATGGCTTCATTTGGGCACTACGAATACAAAAAAAGGCATAACGCTCAGCGCCATTACTGATTGGCAGGCAGCTCAACACAATGGTTTCCCACCTGCTCCCATTGGCCAGCGTATTTTCTGTCACAGCAACATACTGCACCACCTCCCCCCTCCCCCCCAGTGTGCTGACATGAAACACGGACAGGTGATGGTTTACAGTATGTGTCAGTGCTGGAGCCAGCGTGTGTGAAGTGCCTGCACAGAAAGCGGAGCATCAAGATAGCATGAAGGAGTTGGAAATGTGTGTGGTGGATTCAGCTGTCGCTCAAGCTGCCTTCCATCTGCCTTCGCTATGGCAACAGAGTGTGGCTGATGGCTCTTAATCTCAAACTGCCTCTGATAAGTGGAGAAATGGCCACTGTGAAGGACAAGTTGGTGCCGCACCCACGCACGCACGCACCAGAGGCAAACAAGCTGCTAGTTATACTGCAGCATCAGATATTATCCTCCAAGTAATTCAATAGTTTTAAAACTGTCTTTTTGTTTGTCTCTCCCTCGATGTCTCCATGAACTTCAAAAGACAACAGAGGACACATCCAAAACTAAATTCCTTTATTTTTCTCTTTTTAAATCTTTTTAAAACAGTTGCTCACAACCTTGACTTAAAAGGACAGGTTAATTTTCTCTGGATTTGCAGATTGATAACATTAAAAAATGACACAAAGTCAATATCACTGTTTAGCCACAGCACAGCCACTATTCACAACTTCCTGATTAATTGTATTTTTTCCTTCTGTATTTCAAATCAAAATAAACAATTATAAAATCTGAACTTCGTTTGTCAATAATCACATTATTGAGTATATGCAGTTCTCTGGTCGAAAATGCCTTGTTGATGCTAGAGGTCAGAGGAGAATGGCCAGACTGGTTCAAGATGATAGAAACGCAACAGTAACTCAAATAACCACTAGTTACAACCAAGGTATGCAGAAGACCATCTCTGAACCACAACACGTGGAACCTTGAAGCAGAGGGGCTACAGCCGCAGAAGACCACACCGGGTTCCTGTCAGCTAGGAACAGGATACTGAGGCTACAATTTGTACGGGCTCACCAAAACTGGACAATAGTAGATTGGAAAAAGATTGCCTGGTCTGATGAGTCTCGATTTCTGCGGCTACATTCGGATGGTAGTGTCAGAATTTCCAGTAAACAGCATGAAAGCATGGATCCATCCTGCTGGTTCAGGATTCTGGTGCTGGTGTAATGGTGTGGGTTTTCTTGGCATCTTTTGGGCCCCTTGGTACCAATTGAGCATGGTTTAAACGCCACAGCCTACGTGGGTTCTGCTGCTGACCATGTCAATCCCTTTATGACCACAGTGTACCCATCTTCTGATGGTTACTTCCAGCAGGATAACGTGCCATGCCACAAAGCTCAAATCATCTCCAACTGGTTTCTTGAACATAACAATGAGTTCACTTTACTCAAATGGCCTCCACAGTCACCAGATCGAAATGTTATAGAGCACCTTTGGGATGTGGTGGAACCAGAGATTTGCATCATGGATACATCAACTGCGTGATGCTATCATGTCAATATGGACCAAAATCCCTGAGGAATATTTCCAGCACCTTGTTGAGTCTATGCCACAAAGAGTTAAGGCAGCTCTGATGACAAAAGGGGGTCAAACCCGGTACTAGCTAGGTGTACCTAATAAAGTGGATGGTGAGTGTATATAAAATCAGTGTGGTTCTAAAAAATGTAATTTAAAGCTTGTGCTTGCATAAACACAGATGAGTGCAAATACATATTTTTACATAATTGAGGGGGTGTAGGAATAGTGGACATCTTTAAAGAGGATCCAGGGTCAATAATAATGTTAAGAGCTGATGTGCGGAACTAGAAAAATGTTTATGTTTCAGAGATGTAGTAAAATACAATTTGAGTCTTCAAAAAAAAAATTAAATGTGGACTATCCTTAACCATTCCCTCTTTATTTTGTGTCTTCATGGTGTAGTTGAGGATGGTAACGGTGAGTGGCATCATGATTTAACTTGTGTATGTACAGTATAAACATTGGAAATAAATATTAAACCTGTGGAGGTTTGACAACCTTTTGGTCCTGACCGATTAAAATGAACTACACTCGGAAAAACTAGCATAGCCACCATTAAGAACAAAGCTAAGTAGCAGTAAATCCAGAGCCCAATGATATACACAGGTTGTGTTGGAATTTCATACATTAAATGTCACTGTAATTCCAGGTTAGGGCTAGGGTTATATGTATTTTTTTCTCCATCAATGTACCCTCCCTGCTCCCCCTTCTCTCCCTTTAAGAGCTGGTGGAGGATGCCTTAAGCTTAGACAGCAGTATTATTTATTCAAGGATTCATTAGAAGGATGTCATCACTTTCCTCTTGCCCTCGTTTCGCTCCAACACTCATAGAAAGAAATAATTAAAGAGTGCATGTCAGCCGAGGATATGCATGGCGATGTTCGGAAGTTGGCCCCACAGCCCAGTAGGGAGGAAGAGGTTATTAATGCGTCAAAGAGTAACTTTATTATGCGGCTTTCACACCAACACGGTTCCAGGGCCGGTTCGGAGCTGGAGCCTGAAAAGCACCGTTTTTTCCTGTTCACACTGCAGCAGAGCCGCCTCTAAGCTCCGAAACCCGGTGCTTTTCAAGCACCAAAAAATGGTCGGTCTAGAAGCAAGAACCGCATACGTCACGCTTACGTCGGAGGCGGGGGCAGTGGCGAGATCAACCTGAGCAATAACAGTTTATGGCGAGTAGTACAGCAAATGAAAGTTGTAACAAGCAGTAGCGCTGACCAAAGTGACTAGAACGCAACCACACACTTATTAAAAAAACACACTTTATAAAGTCAGGCAACACTAACCAGGCTTCGTGTGATTCTGTTTATTTGTACCTTACTTTGACCATCCGTTCTCTGTTATTGATCATTGTGGAGAGCAGGCAGACGTTTTGTTTTGTATTATAGCAGCTATCGGATGCAATCAATACATGGGCTGCACAGGTTGTCATGACTCATGTCCGACTATCACAAGTAGAATCATAATGTAAAATACGCTGGTAAAATGTGCCGGCTTATGCCACAATAGGATAGCAACAAGTAGTCAAGATAGTCAGTTTAGCTTCGGTTGCTATGCTAACATCACCCATGGGGATGGGTATTTTTAGGATTGTATCCATACCGAAGCTTATCGAAACCGGTATTCATCAATTCTCTTATCAACACTTTAATACACACTTTGTAAAAAAGATGAAGACATTACATGAAAAGACCCGAACAAATATTCAGGTTCAACAGTTATTTTGTTATAAGTTGTTTTTAGATCCTACGTGTTGCCTCATTGTGTTTAATTTCCAGTTATTAACTTCAGAAGCAAACAATAATAGATACCAAAAAGAACTGGGATCTGTATTATTCAGCCAACCCCAAAAACATAATCAATGAATTATTCAACTGATTTTATATGAAGAAAATTGGCATGTTGACTTTCGTTTGAAGAAGTCAACATCTCTCATTACTGATCGTCTCCCCAGCAGTCTAAAGAAACTCAACACCAACTGTTTCTAAGAGGACTGGGCAAACTAATGACACCCGTGTACAAACTGTGTCTGTCTGTTCTTGTGTTATTCTCCCAACAGGCTGTACTGAAAATGGAGGTGTATCGCTAATGTTAGCAGCCACTTGTTAAAGCAGTCAAACACGCTGCACTGACTCAGATGTATAGCCTGTAGGGGTGTAACGGTTCACAAACATTTCGGTTCGGTACGTACCTCGGTTTTTTGGTCACGGTTCGGTTCGGTACGTTTTCGGTACAGCAGAATTTTTTTTCACAGAACAAAACATATATATATTAGGGCCGGGACTCGATTAAAAAAATTAATCTAATTAATTAGAGGCTTTGTAATTAATTAATCGAAATTAATCGCATTTTTAATCACATATAAATATTTGACCTGAGAACAGTGAGAAGCAATTTTTTTCACATGGATTTTAGTATACCATTAGGCGCATTCACACCGCAGTACTTTTCCCACAAAGGTTCATGAGAATTTATTTCATGAGAACTCTTTGAACCTGGGGGTGGATTAGGCAAATGAAGCCGTTGACGTCACTTCTTCTTCTTCTGCTTTGGGTTTACTGGCAGGCCGCAAACCACCCAAAGTCCCCGGCCGGAAGTCCCCGGAGTTGGGGACTGGCTTCAGTAGAAGCTGCTGGGACTCCCAGCAGCTTCTACTGAAGCCTTCAGAGTAAATCGCCAGAACACCGACACCTCCTCTTCTCCACCGCTCCCATGTTTTATTTTGTGTTTCCATAAGTTA